GTCTGAAGGTAGTCTAAAAGAGCATGGCACGAAGGATACTTCGTGGTTACAAAATTCCGAATTTATAGGTTGCTCACACAATGCGGTTTGCGGAAAAAGCAGCGTAAATGAGAGAGACGAGACATCTCGGGGCGACAAAGTCTGCTCGACCAACTTTCGAAAAAATGGTATTGGAGAGTAATAAAAAAAGGTAAATAATGTATGCAGTGACGGTCATAAATAAGTGTTTGGGTCTGTCGCTTCAGTTCTGTCAATTTTTCTGAACATAATTTATTACCAAAGAAGGAAAACTTGTAAAAGATGTCTAAAATGTTTGTTTCGCATCTTTGGATTACTTGTACAAAGCCGAAAATCTCCACAATTTCCTGCTATATTAGCAAATAATAAAAGTAAATTTGTGGGGCCGACTTTGAGTGTTCGAACTCATGCATGCGCCTTACCAGAAACATAAATATATTTATTTATTTATATTTATATACGCACGTTACACAATTATAATGCGTCATTTAAAAAGAAAACCGTTCGGAAAAGAGAGTAAGATATGAAGGATGTGTATAGAATTGAAAATTCCCTATAGAGGAAAAACTGAGACAAAACATTCGCTTATCACACAACCTAATGTTTTTGATCTTGGCTGAATAATCAAGTGTTCTTCATTTATATCGCAAAAGTGTTCTGCACCCTTCTCCTGCCATAACCCTCATGCAGCTTGATCAAGACAGAAAATGCACGCAATGAAAATTCGTTTAGTCCTACTCAAGTTGTGAAGAAACCTTTGCAGCACAGGTACACATCACACGTGACAGAATAGATTCAATAAACACGCATTACATCTACCGGCATTTAATCGTTATCCGGACCCAGTTCTTCAAAAAATCACCATGAAAGATGTGTTTTGTCCTAGGAAATTAATTCCATGGAACATTTGAGGATTGTCCACTTGCTACTTTTCAAAAAAAAAGTTTGCCAAGAAGGAATTTGAGATGACTCAATAGCAGTTATCTATTGGGTTGTCCGGAAATTAATGCTCGTTATAAATTCTAAACGCAATAAATCATACACTTCTCAATTCCAAATAGGTTTTGAAGTATCACTCGATATAGCAAAGCGGGCTCTGATAAGATGACGTTCTTGCTTCCACAACAGCTTCGATCCACCCCGAATTTGAAGCCAAAATCTATGCTTGATAAATCGAAAAGAAGTGTAACTCATTCCAAAAATATCCTACAAAAATCCTAGCTTGCCCACGTGTACGCTCTCCATATCAGACATTTATATTAGGTCGGTGCAAAAGTTTTGTCAGTTTTTTTCAATCCATCGGCAAACACGTTAGAATGAAGATAAGCTAACACTTCAAAATGTATCCGATGCAGAATTTCTTCCTCTTTCCAGCTGCCAAACTGTCATTGTGTTTCGTTGCGAGAGTGACGAGATACTTGCTGGAAATTACAACCACTCGTTTTTACCATCCTCAATTTTCGCTAATTTCCATAATTTTTGTATGAGACTTTGTGAGAAGCCACAATGACCAGTAGATAGTGCAAACCTTTTGCCAACAAAAGCATTTTCTTTCTTTTTTTCAGCTGCTTTTTCAAACTTTTGTTGAATATTTTTCTGAAAGTCTTGTGTTATGGAAAAAACGCATAACCTGTTATTACACCAAACATTGAAAAACCTACAGAATTCTGAGGTTTCAACACTCGATTATTACTACCGCTACCATTACACAGTAAATGAGCGATTGCTTCAAATCATGATGATTTTGAAACATAGGTTGCCTCAGTGCGCACTCCTGAAATTGAGAAATACTGCGATTTTCCCCCACAAATTTCGCTTTTCCCGGCAAAAAGGACAAGTATTAGAAGGAGGAGAAAAAGTTATATCGAATGATAACTGAAGTGTTTAACATTTTATGTTTTACGAAGTTAAAATAGGCTGAATGTAAAATTGGGTCACTTCAAAAAATAAATTGTAGAAATTCTGAAAGACAAGCCATAGAGCTACAAAAAATTGCTTCTGTTGGCAAAAGGTTTGCCCTATCTACTGGTTATTGTGGCTCCTCACAAAGTCTCATACAAAAATTATGAAAACTAGCGAAAATTGGAGATGGTAAAAACGAGTGGTTGTAAGTTCCAGCAAGTATCTCATCAATCTCGCAACGAAACACAATGATAGTTTAACAGCTGGAAAGAGGAAGAAATTCTCCATCGGATACATTTTGAAGGGTTTGTTTATCTTCATTCTAACGTGTTTGCCGATGAATCGAAAAAACTGACAAAATTTTGCACCGACCTAATATATACCGTTGCTGTATTTATTTCTCGATTAGAAATCAAGAAAACGAAATTTCATGTTTTTGCCAAAGCAATGCTGCGCTGTTCCAACGTGAGAAATTGTATACTACAACCTAAAGAAAGTGCAAATGTAAATTTCCAGCTTTCTATAAGCTCCAGTTCTCGAGAATGATCCATATTTCTTGAAAAATAGAACTTGTAGAGAGTCGAAAAATTTTTGCACTTCTGCAAGTTGCTGTATACGTATACGATTACTCATGTGGGAACAGCACAGCATCACTTTGGCAAAAGCAAGAAAATCTTCGATTCCTTGATTTCCAACTAGAAAAAGCACAGCAACGGTATCTATAAATGTCTGATGCAGAAAGTGTATCAGTGTGCAGGTAAAGGTCTTTGTAGCATTTTTGGAAGAAGTCACGATTGTTCTCGATTTTTCGGGCAGTTAGGTTTTTTTAGTTTTTGGCTTCAAACTCGAGGTGGAAGCTGCCGTGAAAGTAACGTCATCTTATAGGACTTGCCTTGCCCTACCGAATGATACTTTGAAATTTATCCAAAATTGAGAAGTGTATGACTCATTGCGGTTAGAATTTAAACGGGCATTAATTTCCAGACAACCCAATATATGTATATTAATAGGTAGTAAAGGAAGTTCCTGGGCACTCGCGAAATTTTTTTCAAAGTGCTGTAACTTCAAGCAGGCCGATAAAGTCAATGTTGTCTAAAAAGTACGCCTATTTTGGGTCCTGAGCGCTTCATTTCGGGCTGCCAGCATGCGCAGTACAAAAAAAGGTCGACTCAAAATCCGCATATTCGTGCAGGAGTTTCTCAGGTACGAAGAAAGCTGTAGAGCTCATATCAGGTAGTTATGTAGAGTCTGCCGGGGTTGTTTATAGACTGTGTCCAATTTTATAGCACAGCCTGCAAAAAGATGCACAGCCTGCAAAAAGATTTTCTCGAAAAGATTAAAAAATTGGCCATTTTTGCACCCTGAAAATACCCCATTTTTTGAGTAAATGAGTTTGAAATCTTCCTTTTTTCCATGGAATGGAACCTTCGATTGTTGCAGATATTGTTGGGGTAATGTCTTGCATATCTTTTGGGCCCATCATCGAGCCGTGACAATCCTTACAAAATCGACTTCAACTGCGAAAACAGGTGCGGCAAGGCAAGTTTGACAGCTTGTATTTTCGTGCGCCTGTTGTGAAATCCGAGCACAGATGTTGTTTTGAAGTGGACAGCCTGCTTATTCACAGTAACCCACCATAAAAAGTTCTCTTTGTTTATTATGAAAAAATGGCAGTAAAAAAATATTGATATTTTCGTCGTGGCACAGACTTCTTTCTTTGGTGTATGGATCAAGTACGGCTCAACATCGATAAAATTTGATGCGAATCTGAAAAGCCTAGGTTTTCTTCTACAAGACCATACAAAATTCTTATTGTTAAGATTCGACCGAGTGCGAAGAAAATGAGTCTGAAAATGGAATTTTTAAAACTGCCCGGGAACTTTCGTTACAACCTAATTTATTTATTCAATTGACTGCGATCAGTCATCGCAATCTTATATATAAAGCTGAATGTCTGTTTGTATGTATGTATGTATGTATGTATGTCTGTATGTACGTATGTTCCGAATAGAAAATTCCATTTCTGAACCGATCGGGACCAAACTTGGCACATATACACTTCGGGGCGGGGAGCGCGTCATAGGCTACTTTTCTTATCGATCGATACGATTTCATCGATTTTTTGCAAAATTTGAGCTACAGGGCTGGGAGTTGGCATAGGGGGGTAATCGAGCATGCTGATTACAAATATATTATTGACAGGCCCTCGCAGAGCCGGTTTGCCAACTAGTTCTTAATAAAGCACTTAGATAATCTAGATGGGTATTGGATTTCTGAACAAACTTAATTCTCATTTTCACTGTTATAAATGTCTGATACTTACACGTCAGAACACCACACAAAAGAATTACGGTATAGTAACCTACAACACATTTACATTCAAAAGGCAACGTTGTTGCCAAATCTGTAGAGATCTACTTCCAACCATAGTTGATCAGTCTAGCGTTATTTCTCTAAAAGAGGATGTCTGAGAAAAGCAAGTTTAGAAGCTTGATCTTCTAAACCTTACTCGGATAACGACACTATTGCCAATTCATGCAATCTGCAAAGGCAATGTTTCTATTTGGAAACATGAGAAGGGTGGCATTGCTAGTGATAATGTGCTCGTGCTTGTAAATCCAGGAAAAACTTCAAATGCACTTTCAGCTACTAAACAACAAATACGAGTTTTATGTTGCCTATGGAGGTCATTTTTGTTGGATATTAAAATAGATCTGTCTAGTATGATCCCAAGAAATTCGCACAGTCTTTTTCTATTTGCAGATGCATCTTTCGACGCACTTCATGAAAATGAAAGCCTGACGTACGTACTAAAATCGCGATTGAGAGTATTATCCGCACAAAACAGGCTCTAAGAGTTTTATTACACGGCACCTGCAACCTTTATGGCAGTTTCAATAGCTGCAAAAATTGATCGAGTTTGTAAATTTTGCTGACTTTATCACAATTACAGCAAGCATCTGGCGCTACTACAATACTTTTGATAGCTTTTGAAAGAACGTTGCACTAACATCCTCGAGTTTGCTCTATAGCTGTGCACGACTTATGAAAGTCACAACCGATGAATTATCGAAAGTCCCATGCTGTGGCATTGGATTGGTGCGGTAAGTTTTACTCATTTAACACTCGAATTTTTTTGATCTTTTGAGATTTGAGATTTGAGATCTTTCAGCTTTTATTGTTGTATCTCTCATCTGGGGAAATATGTGACTGGTTTAAATACCAAGATCCACAAGCCCGTTTCAATGCAACGTTCAGGAATTACACTTTGAAGGCTATCAGTGAAAAGGTTAGCTATTTCAAAAATCAGTTGTTTTATAGCTGCTAATAATATGCTTGTAAAAAAAGGATACGTTCGAGACTTTGGCTTTCAGGTTGGAAAAAATTTCTCGGAGATCTTGACACACTACTCTTGCGACATAGAACAAATTGTGTGGCTTTTCGATGGACACACTTACGGGCCTTTCTATGGCCTCCATCAACTTTATTATCCAAATCATCAGAATATAGCGAGTGCGGCTCTCAGCTTCGCTGAGAACAACTCACTTCAACTTTCTATAGTAAGTTTTACCAGAATATCAAGAGTTTTGTTCAAGGAAATGTTCTAACAAGCATACTCGAGGCAAAGTTAGAGTAAATGGATTTTAAAAAGTTCAAACTCGACTCGCGTCAGCTAACTCATCTTGTTTCAATGATCATAGTGGTAAATGCCGTATGAGCCTTCATAATCTCAATTAACATTCATCCATATTTTAGAAAATTCTTGATGTTCTTTGATAATGACCTTTACTCAAAACTAAACCCATTTTAAACTCTTGTGCCCATCACGCAGCTATGGAAATAATTAAGCTCAAGATGCCAAATCGATAGTAATATTTCAGCTTACGTCCAAGAAGTATTTTGAGTTTGGATGCAACAACGGAACGCTGAAGACTTTTAAAAATATATCCTACCTCACTTGTTTTTTTTATGCACATTAAGAATAAGATCTTGCAAGTCTGAGTATTGCTAACAAAATTCCTCACAAAACTACTGTAACTTCGTTATTGATGAAATCAGGCTTAGCTTACCCAAAATTTTCGAAAAGTAGTCTAATATGTCATAAAATTGCGCAAGAAACATACTTTTATTATAATTGAAACTGACGCAATAATAGATCAAAGGCGAGAGGGCAGAGCAGTGGGCTCTTCGTCCTCAAAACTTTGATAGGTCACAGAAGATTTAGAGCTACACTTTGCGTGGTAAGATACACCAAAAATTTTGGTACCACAAGTCAACAAGATTTACGCTGCCTAGAAAACAGTAACTAGTTATGCTAAGCAAAAAGAGTGTGAAAGGAGGAAAACATCGCTGACATCAGAGCGCTATATGCATGACTATTAAATTTTTCCACACTTTCATAAGTTTAAAAGATATGTGGTATAAATCTAAGCAAGTTCTTACAAAATTCTAAGTTTAGCCTAGAAACAGCATTTCTAATTGAAGCAATAAGACTGTCTCAAAGGCAGCGTCCGGGCAAAATTTCGCCTCCCATGTTTCTGTCATTCTGGGGCCTTTCCGTGGCCTTGATTACAGTTGTGATGTCCAAATTGTTCAATACCCCAAAAAACCCGATTGGGGACCCTCTCCTCAAGGAGCGGACGAGTTTCGGATTGCTCGTCCCCATCGCATGCCAGCTTGAGGAGCTGCATTGCAGTTGCATTGCAGTTGCATTGCAGTGTGCAGTGCAACTGCAATGCAACTGCACACCTGCGTGAGCACTCGTCCTCAGGGGTGGTTTGTGATACGAAGGAGCGGTTTGTGATACGTATCACAGGCCCGCATCTCCTTTTAGAGGCCACATCAGAGGATCGGACCAAAGCAGATCGGATGTTCATGGGCCCCTACAACTATGTGCTAATCTGGGTGGATGGATCTTGCCTGGACGCTGCCTTCGAATCTTGCGCTGGAGTCAAAAGAAGGAAACACCATCCTAATCATTTTCCAAAAAAAAGAAACCACTTCATCACCGGATTGCAGAACTCTTCTGTTTCGCCTTTGTTTTCAAAAATGCAAAATTTGAGAGTATCATCCAAAATTAGATGTTTGAAAAAAAAACCGTCCAGTCACGCTGGCATCAATTTTGGCTTGATATAATCCCTTATTATCTCTGAACTTCAACTTTTATTTTAGCTCGAAGTTGCACCTTCAACATTGTGAACCTCCATGACGATTAAATCATAACTTATCAAAGGGTGGGGGTTGCAGCTTACTGGGTCGCGCTCGTAGAGGCGACGCTGGTTTTCGCTGACTTCTCTTGACCTCACATCTGTTGATGTAGAATTTTGAGTACAATACTCTGTCTCCAGTTGAAAATCATCTTAATTATAAAACTCAACTTGGCTTTATATCAACCTTCTCGGAAGACGCTCCTGCAGCTATGTACGTCCATTTTCTTGAAATATCTCGGCTCATGCGGCTGCATAAATCTTGGATCTTAGAAGAAAATTCTTCGCGGAGTGGCCAAACACGCTTTTTCTTTGCGTAAAAATTCTGTCGTCCACCGTAAAACATAGTCGGAACTTACACGGGTGGAAAGTAGGCGCAAAAGATTGAAACTGTTTGTACTCCAGATTAGACAAAAAGTGCGTTAGTGCTACTACGATTCAAAATTTCCTGATTTCTATACGAATTTCCATGCTTTTATTTAGTTACAAAAGAGGCACGCGCTTCCTGAAAGCACCACTGCTATCTGCCATTTGTTACGGGCACTGCAGAGGAGAAGCGCCTAGAACAAGACCACTCAAATTTCGATTTTTGTGTTTTTTGTGTTGTATTTTTTTTGTTTGATATGAACATCTACAATTGATAAATTTCGGAAAAGTCGGCAGCAAAATCTTCTGTTCTGTTCCATTCGAAGAGTGAAGTTGATTATCTTTTTGTAGAATGTGAATTTCGGGCAAGCAATGAGCACAGCGAATTTGATTTTCAATAAAACGAAAGTTCTCTGGTATCACCTGTAAAAATTCATAACTTGCGGCTATTTCAGCATTTACATAACCTAAGCGTATTTGAAAGAAAAGATCATGCACTTTATTACACCACCTTAACGGTTCCGTAGTACACATACAATTCATAGAAAAAAGCGGCAGAACCAAAACACTCAAAATTCAGTTTTTCTGCGCTTGTTATTAAAAACTAGAACATGCATAAATCGATTTACTCATTAGTATAGAATTTCTAGTCTGCTCTAGCTGAGCAAAGTTGGTACTGATTGCATGTTTTGGAAATTGATGATTTTTGAGTAAATGCCAAAAATCCAAATTTGCTGTTATGTACTGCTTGCTCACAAATCGTGATATTTTATGGAGAATCTGATCAGCACAGAATAGTTTACAAGCATTCAAAAGAGCAGTGTAAGAGACATAATACCAGCTGCATCAATTTTTCTTGCCTGTTACGGGGAGGGTCAGGAAGTCGAAGTGGCCGATCGCCACAACTACATACAACTAGCGAGTGCTTGAAGCTCTGATACCAAATCTGCTCTAGCTATCGCAGAGCTTTTTTGTAGAAGAAGTTATGATAACTTTTTTGGAGTCGGGGATTGAAGTAACAACCGGAATGATATTAATCGCTAGAGCTTCTTTAGCACTTAAATGAAGCAGTGGCAACTTTCATGATTATTGTGGAGAGAGCCGTACGAAAGATCAGCGTACGAGAAGCCCGCGAAGCGAAGTTATGGCGGGAACCATAGGGATATTTAAGAAGTGCGCGCCAAGACCTGCATTCTCACACGAAGGATCTCACATTCGATATCATTTTCCTATCTCAGGCGGTTGCCTTGATCGAGGTTTATTTTTGTTTTGTTCCTTGTTGTTTTTCCTCGTTGTTCGTGTAGTAAAGTTTTGTTGTTTGGTTTCCTGTTCTGGAATACCGGCTTTGGAGCCGTACATCTCTATCGCAGAACCCGGTGAGGGGTACTTATACTAATTCTGCTGCTTAGTATATTGGTATTTTCTATTGCTCCATTTGCAGCCTACAAAGGCCGTTATGATTGAATTTAACTCAGCCGTTAGATTTTTACGCCTCATAAAGCTCATAACTTCTTTTCCAAGGAGGCTCTGCAAGAATGGAAAGCAGATTCGGGATCAGCTTTTCAAGTTCTCATCAAAGGTATGCAGCTTGTAGTGCTTGGCTACTTCGACTTCGTGACCCTTGACCTTGTCAGATTTTATCCAAACACGGCAAATATCGAGTTTGTGTAATTTTGCTGCCGTTAGCTCATGCAGTCTCGTATTAAGAAGCAGTTAAGGTGCTATGTAAAGCGTTTCATCTTTTTTTGACAGGATTGGAGCCATGCAAATCATTATAGAAGGCAGAAGATTATGAATTTTAGAAAATGCAACTTCGCTTTCAATGTTAGGTATTTCCTTAAATGATAACTCTTCATGGAGACTCTTGTTAAGCACAGACTTTGCTCAAGATCAAGTAGATTACAGGAAACTCCAAGTCTTGTTCTCATAAAACTTTGGCATTTGTCGCATGTTGAGATTTCTATTGCGTCGAACAGATGTGAGAAGTTATCTTTATTTCTGTCTAATCACGGCCTTACGTTTCGACGCCTCTCGTCACTTAGGATTCTGATGGTTCTAAGCGTTATCCGTAACTCAAACGTCTTCCCCGACTCTGTTCTGTTCCCGGAATTCTCACATCTTGCTACGAAATGAATTCAATTTAAGGACATAAGATCTCTACTCGAGCAGTGCGCACAAAGTAGACCGTCGCGTCATACGAGTGAATCAAACTTTAGCTATACAGTGCGGTTCATAATTATACGAACACCCCAAATTTTAGAAATTTCTGGACTATTTGGAAGAAACTCAAAAAGCCTTTGGTACCACGCGAAAGAGCCCAGACGAAAAGGTATGCGATCCACAAGAATGGGAATCGAAGCCAATTTTAGGAATGTTTTTCGCCTAATGCGAATTTTGAGCGGTTCATAATTATACGAGCACTTCAAACAAAGGTCCATTTTTCATTGGCGAGTGCTATCTTTCGTGTCCAGATTTTTTATAGAGTCATACCAACAAGGCCTGAAAAGTGGCAGATCACACTTTTCATTGCTATTCACTAAATAGGGAAAACCTCTCTGTATCCAAATACCGAACTGCTGTTCACTACATTCATTATAGCTTGGAAACGAAGCTTAGAAAATCAAAGAATTGAGATTTTGAAAATTTAGCCATGTTGAGGCATAACTAATGATAGAAATGTCTTTACTGATGATAGAAAATCGTAAACATTTAATATGTGATAGAGGAAGCTATGAACTACTCTTCCACAAAAAATCATAGACAGAGAACAACAAGAATTGTTATCAAGATTTGCATGCTAAAACCAATTTATTTTTTAGCCATGCTAATTCTATCGAGCCTTGCGTACTTCCGTTCCAACTTCAGGATACAAATAATTTCCATGACTCAAATCTCATCTCACGAAAAACAACTCTAAGCTCAGTACTTTCGTCCCCTTCCATGCTTAGTGACGAATTACTATTACTTGTCTAGACAAAATACTAATAGCAGATAAATTCGAAATGACATTGCAACGCCTTTTTTACACCAGCCGGTAGCAAATAAAGCTCGTCTCTGCTTAGCGTGGAGACAGTTCATGACAGTATCTATTTGCTTGATACAAAAGTTCTGCTGCATCATTCTTGATAAATCATGACTTTTTGTTCTCTCAACGGATTTGCACAAACCTAGTTTTTTGTAGGTAGAAGAGACCCCGTAATAGTGCCTTCGCCGCTTTTCAATAAGGGCTAGCTTTTGAGATGGAAGCAGGAGATTAGAATCACTTTTACTTCGATCAATTTGAGTTAGGCTGCTAAAAACCTGAAACTTACAATTATACTCCGAGCGAGCAGTAAAGCAAGTTTTTGATCCACAGTTTTCAACAGTGCAAAGTTTGTGTCAAAAGAACGTTTCTGTGAAGGATTATGATTTTTGCATAAGCAATACAAAATGCAAAATTGATTTTTTTAGCATTTTTTTTGAAAATTGTAACTCTTCACAGACATGCTCTTTTGACACAAACTGTGCACTGTTGAAAGCTGTTGAGCAAAAGACTTACTATACTGCTTGTCAGAATTTTATCGCTTTTCAAGTTTCAAGTTTCAGACTTTTAGCAGCCTCACTCAAAATGACGGAACTTGGTGTAATTTCTCTTCTATCTCAAAAGCTACCCCTTATTAGAGGGCAGCAAAAGCAATACCACATAGAGAAGGGTTTTCTTTATCTAGCAAACGAGTTTGTGTTGATTTGTTGAAAGAGCAAAAAGTAAGATTTTCCAAAAATGATGCAACAGAATTTTTCTACCAACCTAATATATTCACTATTGAAAATTCACTTGAACCTGTTGAAAACATCAGAGATAGACGTTTTGGTCAAGAACAATCTTTGAATTGATGATCATTGTAAAAAGGCCACTGAGAAGGGTACAGCTTCAGTGTACATCTGTTCAGGGCGGCTCCAACATCAGATCCGGCAATCCTACTGACATGATTAGGCCTATGCTTGGATACAGCCATGTGCTATACCCTTCCAATCGCAAAAGTAGGATTACTTGGAGAATGTTCGAAAACAGCTTTACGCTCAGGTTACTGATCACAAATGTTGGTTTTGTCTACGAACAGATTTCAGGTAGAAGAACCCGTAATATTAGGTTGTTACATAAGTCTTGTTACACTTCTTACAGCGATAAGTCACGCACCTCATATTCTTTATAGGGCTACAGGGTACCATTCGATAGAGCAAAGCAAGTTCTTTAAGATGGTATGCAAAAGTTCGCACCAGCTTCGACCCACGTAAGTTTGCATCCGGAATGTGAGTCGTACTGAAGGTTCGAAAAATTACTGAAATTCATATTTTCGTTCAAAAAAAATCCTCAGCATTTTTAACTTCTTCATACAGATTGCACACCACATCAGACACTCATACGTACCGTTGCTGTATATTTTCCTCATCTAGAAATTGAGAAAACGAAAATTTTCTTGTTTTTACAAAACGGAGCTATTCTGTTTCTATGCATGTAGTTACACAAGGGCTTGTATACTACAAACCCTTAGAAGTATAACCGTAAATTTTCAGCTTTTTAGAGATCCTAGTTTTCGAAAAATACCTAATTTAACTTTCCTCAGTAGAGTGTTCAATGCTATTCCGTAATTTTCACAAGGCTTGCAGATTGCTGAAAATTTACGGTTATACTTCTAAGGGCTTGTAGTATACAACTGCATGAATAGAAACAGCATAGCTCCGTTTTTGTAAAAGCAAGAAAATTTTCGTTTTCTCACTTTCTAGGTGAAGAAAAAATACAGCAACGGTACGTATGAGTGTCTGATGTGGTGTGCAATCTGTGTGAAGAAGTTAGAAATGCTGAGGATTTTTTGAACGAAAATATGAATTTTAGTAATTATTTGAACCTTCAGTACGACTCACATTCCGGATGCAAACTTACTGTGGGTCGAAGCTGGTGCGAACTTTTGCATATTATCTTAAAGGGCTTGCTTTGCTTTATCGAATATTACCTTGCAACTATTCAGAAGTGAGAAGTGTATGACTTACTGCGGTTGAAATTCAAAACGGACACTAGTTTTCGGAAACCTGATATAATATTGGAATAGGGGTAACGAGCCAGGTTTTCAAAATGCAGTGCTACCATTTCATCAACCTTTTCTCGATTTACAAAGTTTCATTAGCGCGCCTGCTTCTAGCCTGGTTCTAGAAGCAATGTGCCATCATATATAGAATCATATTATCAATTTCTCTTGCGTGAAATCCAGTGACGAAGGGAAATAGCAGTAAGTGGCCCACAACAAAAGCATCTTGTTTTCGCATATGCCCCAAGTGATAAGTGAATAAAGATATGGTTGTAGGACTTCGCTGATAAACTTTATGTCAATACTATATACTAAAATGGGACAAGTGAGATAACACTCATAATCTAGCCATTGTCAATTGGAACAAACGGATGTTGATTGTGAAGCTATTACTGGTGAATCGATGCTCTGTATATGTAATCACTCAGAATTCGTAAGTGCAAGAGCAAGCATTGACTCTAATTGCACTTCTAGGCTAAAATGTTTCGTTATCATACGATTTTTGCTGTAAGTCATGATTTCTGCTTCAAAATTCTCGCGTTGCTTAAGCATTTCTAGCTCATGCCAATCCTTCATTCTTCCCCCTCAGCTGGACATAGATGTGATAGGAAGCTGAGAAAATCAAGCTTTGAAGAGAATTGGAGAGGCCCAGTTATACAAGCGTTTGAAAAAAAGGTTACAGATATTGCATTATTATAAAGTTCTTGTCAAGAGTCTTGAGCTCTGATATGTAGTGTAGGGAAAACGCTTTGTTGTGCGGCAAGAAAAATGGGAAGCCGCCGAAGTATAATTGCCGTCTGGAGCAGGAAGCTCTGGCAAAAGCTGAAGATTCTGAACTTCAAATTACTAACCGTGGTTTCATCGCCATTGGATACTATGGCTCACATTTGATGTGAGTTGACCTGTAGTGCTTTCAGACTTACCACGTATTCTTATTCAGAAAGGAGCTCATGCCTATTTATGTTGCGCACGAACTAGTTCGACATTATGAAAATAAGACAAAGGCGAGTGATTTTTTGTTACTTACTATGTCAAGGACTGCAGCGATTATTGGTAAAGTGAATGCATCAACTGACTGTTAAAGATTATTTGTTTCTTACTTATGTCGATCAAAGCGAAACTCACATTCACCACTACAAAACACTTTGCTAGCTTTTGGCTCTCTGTTAATGCATTTGACAGATCCAAGAAGAAGACGGAAAAGTTCTGAAGCTGTTTCACCAAACTTTCTTCGGGCCTCTTACCAAAGATGCGATGTATTTGGAACAACAATGTGGAGCAAATTTGCATGCATTTGCGAAACGTGTTGCCAATTTTAACATTGACCTATTCAGATCCTAATCGAGGCTATTCAACGCTCAGGAGAATTTAATTGAAACAAGTACTGCGTTTTTAATCAAGCCTCACGTTCTGCTAGACTTAGAAGCTATTTTTCGGGTTCGATTTGAAATTTAGTTTTTTGCAATGAAAAATTTCGATGATTTTTTAATTTGTGCAGCACCTTATCGGGGCGAGTACAGAGTGTTATTGACAAGAAACCTCAGAAGTTTTAGAGCAATTTTTTTCCGGAGTCCTGTGAAGTAGAACATTGACTACGCGTACGATATGTCTCAATTCTTCGCTGATATTTACTAAAGGGATTAATGTTAGCAAAGAAGACAACGAGTTTTCCACACATTTTGCGCTATGATACCGCGCAACTACATCTTCTCGCCTAATAACATTCCATCTCTGAGGTTTTTTCCAGGCCATCATACTTAGGGTAGATTTATGCTCTGTTGAACAACACAGAGCTAAACCAGTTCATTAATATCGCAAGTTCTTGGTAAAACTACGTAGCTTCAAAAGCAGTTCTATGCGCAGTAGACATTTAAAATCAAGCCAAAAAGAGTCTTCGGATATGTGTTTGATTTAACAGTCGAAAACAGCCAGTTCGGATTATCGTTTGGATTGATTGAGGCACTTTAAAAAAATTGCATGCTTGAAGGAAGAACATATGCCGATTATCTCAATACAGTCTGTTTAGCTGCATCGTGCTGTGGCTATGTGATGCAACAAGCATGTTCATTCGGCCCAACTGAGCGATCGCAGCCAATTGCATGCAGACTTTGTATGCCTTTTCAAAATTCGAAAATAGAGCCGAAGAAAACTTGATGTGTTTCGCTCTTCAAAGAAATTTTGCAATAAACTTTTATGCAAATATTCTGGAACTGATTCCGTAGAGTTCGCTTTTCACTCCATTACAATTTGATCTCGTGCAGACCTCAAAAATACTGCTGTTTACGTTTCTGAGCTGAATAACCTATTCAAAAAGTTATTTGAGATGCTCAAGTGCATCCATCATGTGAAAATTATTATACATGCATGTGAGGTTTTTTTTTGGCTATTCTACACATGGCTAGGCATAATGCCTATTGTTTCCGCAGTATTTTGAACAGTCAACGGAGGACTGCGCCAAATGTGCTAGGATTCATATAAATAATAAGTAATAATGTTCATAATTATAATAATAATTTGAGGACTCCGTTTCGTTCCTATCCTTAGACGGAGTATTGCGTTGTTTCTATGCCATCCCCGGAACTCTTCAGTAAGGAAGGATGGCCATAATTAAAATAACTCATCTTTCATATAAATTTGAAGCTTATATTAGAGTTTATATTTCAAACACTTAGTTCGAATCATTTGTTTAATAATTTTTTGTTCTAACTAGGTTAAGTCCAAATGCGTTGTAAAGATGATAATTTTATTGATTCTTATTGATTATTTTAATTATTTATCGACTTATCTGGGTCTTTTTCATTGACAGATTATAGTTTCCCACTCTCCTTGTTTATCTTCGTCCACTGCGGTTGGTTGTTTCACGTTGAACTTCTTTCTGGATCCGCTAGTCTTGTAGGAGATCTTCGTCGTGATTTCGTTTTATAAATGAATCTTCCCCAACTTGTCTAACTTGTTATTGCATGAATTGTTCATAATCATTATCGAATGGGTTTTAATTTATTTTGACTGCTCACAATGAACGGTGAGGGGTGAGTGCGATATTGATATTTCAATACATCGTCGGGAATAAAATTCTTCCCCTCTCCAACTTTCTGAACCCATGTTGAACGTTTCTCACTTGGTGGAGTCACACCTCATGGAGTACGTAAGATTGCGTATAATTCTCAGTTCTTGACTTCGAATCTTTATTGATTATGATCAGTTTTGATTCTCTCAATCGATATCAATCGTTTTCAAAAAACATAGTTAAACCACCAAAGTGAAGGTCTCTATCACTTTAAGCGTCATTTATGAAGTATTCTTTAATACTTTCTTCTTCGTGACTAAACTGTTAGTCCATTTCAATTCTTTATCAAAGGGCATGACGTCAAACTTGCATAGAAAATTCGTCGCTTTTCGCTTTCATAATAGGTAGTTGAGTGTTATTGGGTATATTTTTTATAAGTGTTGACGGAATCCCACTTTTGTTCGATGCTTTATACAACATTAGAAACATTCCCCGTTTTGTTGTAAGTCTTTTTAATTCCCCATATAAGTTTCATGGATGTCTTGTAAGGGGATATCGGGTAATAGGGATCTTAAGGGTGTCTTGAGCGGTTCAAGTTCTTCATGTGTCCGTGTATACACTCTGTGTCCGGTACCTGGTTCTGAGTGGGGATTCCACAATAAGGTTGGCTCATTCGCATTGCGAATGAGCCATTGTCTTTTGTGAGGATTCGTTTTTATGTTAGTTTAGTTTGGTATGTATAAATGTAAATTATAATATTAACTAATTAATACTGAATGCTTTTTGATTTTATATTATTGTATGTAAAATTAGGAGCAATAATTTTTAAACATCGAAAATTTTTTTGAGATGAGAATAATTATCAATGTTGTATTTGTATAGTATAGATGTATTTTTATTTATACATTTATATATACTAGCTAGAATTATATTTTTATTATAGCCGTTGTTTAAAAGAGTGTTAATCATTAGTAGTACTTTATCGGTGAAATCTGTCAAAAAACTACATGTACGTGATATTCTAAGTGTTTCGGAGTATATCAAAGCTTTTTTAATATTGATGGAAACACTGGAATCAAAATTAATAAATTTCTTTACTTCAAAGTTGAAACTGTCTGTTTTATTGTATAATAAAGTTACTATTCTATCATTTACTATTTTTATATGTAAGTCTAGGTAATTGCAAGTGTTTTTATTTAAATGTGTAGATTCTAATTTGAGTTTGTTATTATAAACTTTTTTAATTATGTCAGTAAGAGTTTGTTCTTACAAATTATGTATAATCAACAAATCATCCATATATCTAAATGGAATCATATTATTGATATGATAAATCTTGTTTTGGCTTGAATATTTATATTCAAACCAAGATAATGTTAGATCAGCTAGCAGAGGACTGAAATTTCCTCCCTGTGGTACTCCTATTTTTTGTTTGAAAGTGTATGAACTGAACTTACAGAAACTATTTTCTAATATGTAATCCACCAAATATATGAGGTCAAATATAGTATAACAATTTGTTTTTTTATTGGTGTATGTTAAGTTATCAGTATAAAAGATTTTATTAGTTCTTTTGAATTTTGCATGAACAATGTATTTTTTATCTGCATTATTAAAACATAATTTGAGGAGTTCTTTTATATTTGTTCTTATAACATTATGTGGAAGACTTGGAAACATATTGGTAAAATCTGCTGAATAAATTTGTTTATCTTTGATAATGATTTGTGAGAGTTTGTCACTGATATTTATATTATCTATAGACCAGTAACCTGAAAATTTATGATTTCTATCTCTTATAGATTTTACATAGTTTTGAAAATGTAATTTGATGAAAGCGAATACTTTTTTCAATTCTATAGCTAATGGTTTTATACTGCTGTGAGTTGCACCAGTAATAAACCTGAATTTGATTGGTGTTTTATGTAGTTTAGGTAAGCAGTATATTAAAGGTATGTTATTATCTTTTTCTGATGGAAGATTGTTATTAGCACAAAAGCTTTTGTGTCTAGCAATTATTTCTAGGGGATTTTCGTCTTTATATATTGTGTATGTATCTTTATTGTCAAATTTTGTTTCAGTATTTGATAATGTGATGCCTAATTCATTCATTATTGTCTTTATATATAATTTTATACATACTATGCCATAGTTATTGTTTGCTTTATCTAAGGGACATATTATGAAATTATTAGTCAATGTTTGGAAATATTTACAATGAAAATTATAAGTAACTTCACCTTTGAGATTAGTTTGATAAAGCAGAGGTTTTAATTTACATATAAATCTTCTTTCTAAATAATGTTGAATATTGTTAATTTGTAATGTGTCAAGTTCGAATTTTTTTATATATGTTTTGATAACATTTGATATTGTTACTTTAATCCATTCTTTTATTTCTTTTTTATTTGTATTTTTTTGTTGTCTGTATTTTGTACCTTTTTCCATTAAATATTTCAGTTTGGTGTCTTCTATAAAATTAAGATCACCTGTAATTATGTGTCCATGATGATTATCTATAAATCTTTTTGAGAATTCGTCGCATTTACATTTTGTTGAAAGAATTCTAGTGATTTCATTATTAGTGAGTTTATTGAGAATTCTATTGTAATTAAATATTTTGAGTGATATAGGTGTTCTATATGTGTATATCAATCGACAAGGCATGTAATTGTCATAAGTTTTGAGTTTATTAGTTATATAAGGACTGTTTATGATTTTATTCAAGTTAACTTGATCCAAAATTTTATGAATGTAATCTATTTTGATATTTACATACTTCGTCTGTTTTTTGACATCCTCATTTTTGTTCTTATGAAATTGAAAGTTGCATAAAATACTTAGTACAATTGCCTTTATATTTGGGTTGATTATTTCTAGGAATTCTTGACTATAACTAGCTTTTATCACTTGTTTAATTAATATGTGTTTCTGTGAGTAAATATGTCGGAAAATGTCGACGTGGTTAATCATGGAGTTGATTTGTTGTATGAATGCGTCTAATGTTTGTTTATTTTTGTTCTTGTGTTTTTTTTATTTGAACGTATTCTGTCTTTTTGAATTTTTAAACTGTAATATGGATGATTATTTTTATGTAAAAGAGGATTGGTTAAATCTGATATATTTCCATAACCTTTGATGTTGTCATTAAGACCAAAAGGATAAGCCGTATTTAATAACTTGATCCAAAATAGTTCTTTATCCATTAGTGTATTTTTATCTTCGTTAATGTCCAAGTTGTCAAGTATATTAAATTTTATATTTCTGCTGGTGCATGTATGCTCAAAGTGGTCGTAAAGATAATTTTTTATGTCATTTTTATTCATATGATATATGTGTTCTTTGATTCTATATTTGAATTGCCTTGTAGTTATTCCAACATATTGTTTGTTACAGTCTTGACATGTAATGCAATATACTAGATTTTTACTAGTACATGATGTACTTGTATTACAATAAGTAAAGATTTTGAGTCCTGTAGAGCTACATATTATGTATGGTTCATTGTCGATGTTTTTACATATGTAACAATTAGAAGTGCATCTAGTTGTATTATTGTTGTTTCCAAAGTTGTCCAGAGTGTATATTTTATTATTATCTACCTTACTTTTACTTTTATGAAATTCTAAAATGTTAAAGTAATTGGTAGAGTCGTAAGTCATAGTTTTTTTTTTTTTTGGACCATAAATAAAACTATCCTAAGGCAGGCCTTTACCCCAGGTAGCTAGGAGGTAGTGATCTAGTAGGGCTGCTACAGGGTCCACGACAAACCCTTTATGTTTATTGAATGTTATTTTTGATTTGTTTTCATGTAAACGAGACTCATGGAGTCGCAGGAGAGTACCCCCCATGTCCACTCCCACTTGTATTACCCATCATGAATCTCCCTATTTTTTTGGAACAAGAGGTGTGGTCCTCTTTTCAAGGAGTGGTTTCGAAGTTTTTATTGAAGACTATAATCTTACGACAAAATGAAAACTTACCTATCTGGGTAGTAGAGGTTGATAACGAGTTTGTTTATAGAGTAGTAAGGTAGATAATAGTTTACAGCAAAAAGAATGTGAATGATGTGGAACTGCGTATGAAAGCCTATCAGGAGAACGTTAACAAAAAAGTGTTGATAGATTGGGTGCGTCTGACTGGATTACCTAATCCCCGAAGGCGAAAACTGGACGTTTTACTTAACGATTTTGCACAGGACATAGTGAAGTAAGTTGATTAGATATGATTGTTTTGTTTTGTTTTATAAAGTAGGTATAGATATCCAAGTTCACGTGGAACGGCATTTACATGGCCATCTCCCGCTGGATTTTATGGCAATCATATGGCAATAAGGGTATATCAATTCATACAAAATTGAATAGTATTAATTACGAACTTTAGGCTAGAATGTCCTACGATTTTTGGAAGCACTTCCTTAGTGAGGGTCGAAAAGCTTTATACGAATATAACAAATTTCACGGAACCGAAATCAAACTGAGCAGAGAGAAGACGCTTCCTATAACGGAGCAAGAACGTTTGGGGTAGGATTTGAAATAATTATCTTCACTCTTTGATATTAAGTTTTATCTAAATTGAAGGTTGTTTATAAGGAAAAAATTCGAGATGCGTATCATAGCAAAGGTTTGAAGGTTCCAGAAGTTAGTTTAAGGAAGAGCCTCCTGAAAATTGGTGAAAACGAGGTATTAATGAGAATTGTATTCAATAATTGTTTAGTTATCTACTATTTATATAATTAGCCGGTAAAACCTGCTATTGCTGTCGTTCTGCTAAATCTGGATATAAATGAGTGGCATGGTCTCCCACCAGAAAGTTTGTTAAGTGACGAAGAAAAAGTTCTGGTAGAGGTGAATAAGCTTTTATATTGTGTTTATAGCTAATTATCTGTAAATAGTATAATAAATTTAGAATGGATCTATAAAAAGGGGGAGTTGGATTCTTCCGGATGATGTGCTTGGAAACGGTGTTGAGAAAGAAGTAGTGGTAGCAGAAAATGAGTAATGGATTGTAAAGTAAAGGTTTAAGTTCATGGACTGTAAAGTTTGTGCAGATAAATATTTGTTGAGAAATAGTTATTACATAGTAAAGAAAAGTTATTACATAATAAAGAAAGATGAGTTGTGAAAATTCTGTCTATGCGACAGTGCGACCCAGTTGGTCGGAGAGAATAAAAGCGCCCCAGTTGGGCTCGAAAGTTATAAAAAATTGTATAATGGAGGTTAATAAGAAGGGTCGTTTGAATTTTGTATTTTGATGGGTGTAAAATTTCGAGAATATATTTTATGAATGTTCAAAGTTGCAATGCAAATATTGTTCTATTTTTCATGTGCGCAAGTACCTTTTTTTGGTGTGTTGTAGACTTGAAATTAAAAAATTTGTCGAATGAATGAATAGCGAATAAATCCGAAAATTAAATATCAAATAAACGTATGCCGAATGATATTCGAAAATGATTTGCGAGATCATAAAATTTTACCGTTGAATTCCTAATTCAGCTTATCCGCGAATGCTTCCTATTTATTAACAACGGTTAAAAACGCTTGATCTCAGATTTCGGGGGAGGGGGGGGGGGGGGAGGACAAGTTTGAATCTTCTGAGTAGTAGGTGTTCAAACCTAGCCATGGAAAGACTGTTGTATTTTTTTGTCTATCTTCCGCGTTATTGAAGGACGAAAACAATTATCAATCGTAAATATTTGAGGATTTTGTTTGCGTTTTGAAAATGTTACAAAGCGCACGACCTTTTGTCAGTTGATAGTAGCTTTTGCAGAAGGGAGCTCAAATGAACGTTGAATGATTTGCAGGTTCAACTCAGCTAACTTTTCTTACTTCATAACAGCGCTATAGCAATCGGGCATGTGCAATTAGCATGATGGGATTTTATCGCTCTGATTAACGGTCATTAAAAATTCGCTTCAAGTTTGGCACTATCTGCTTTCAGATTTTTGACCAACTGATCTTGTCATTATACGGTCCAAGCGTGGCGTACAACAACTCGTATCCTGATTTGCGCAGCTTGCTTACTCTGCAAGACGCGCAATGCTTGTTCCTTATTTTGTTGAAGTTTTAGTTTACCGCAACAGACTGGTCAGGCTAAAACCTTCAATTTGCTCGTTGAATACTCTCAAGATGTGGTTGGCAAACAGAGAGACATCGGTCCTTTATGTAAATTACGGTCCTGAGCTCTTCCGGAGGATCGATCAATGGACCAGTTTACCCCTCGTCCGACTCTGGTTTACTTGTTTGAATAACTTAAAATGGATAGAGAAAGAACTCCGCCCTCAGACATTCGCAGTTAAGTCCCGCCGGAACTGCGGGACACAAGTAAAATGGTTCGCGAAAAAACCGGGACTCCCGGTTTTCGTTCGGGCTAATGCTGCGCGACACGCGCTTTTGTCCCGACATGTTTTCTACTGAGAAAACCAAGAGCTCCTGCGGGAGTCCCGATAATGTCGCGATTCAGTCACCGGCGGGACTCCTGCTCTAGGCTGCAGTCTCTTGCGGGGCGAGATATAGTAGCGATTCGATCAGCTTTCAGCTGGGCTTTTTCTCAAAGTGGTTCTCCTTCAAAAATTCGTACTACACACATCTTACAAAGGTGCTGTGCTCGATACAGAGTTCAGAAACACTCTTTATTAGCATTCGTGACCGAAAGGAACATTGAAATCACTATAACCAAGTTAACAGAAAAAACAGGAATGTCGAGATCAAGATTTGAGATTGAATTCATAATTCAAATCGTCACACTTTCGATGTCTTCGTCTTGCTCATGCCCGGCTCATTCGCGTGCTCGTGCGCCAAAGAATCTTGCGTTATAGTGGGGCAAAAATGTTTTTTTCTGGAAAAGAGTAACAATCTAGCACTGATTTGAGAAATCATATATGAATATTACAGAGGGTGGCGACAGCATCTCCTTGTCCGCATTCTGCGCAAATCCGCCTGTGTTGTGTTGTAGGAGATGTTGTCAACCTGAAAAAATTGAAACTTATGAACTATGCCACAAAATATGTAGAAAAGGAACTTACCTTCAAGGAGTACAAACCATCAATCGGCGGAGGAGCACGGCGCGACATGTTCTATAACAAATTAAATGTTCGCAAACTGTTGTTATAAAAGAAATGATGGAGAAGAGAGCGAACACAGAGATACGATCAGATGCATTAGAACCAGATTTGGATGCGAGCACAACCACCTTCGACGACGGCAAGAGCATAAATGGAAAAACTGCTGCGGTGCAACATGTCACAACATGTTGGCGTGGCTAAGATGTTCTGTCAACATGTTGTGACATGTTGCAAACATGTTTTCTGCCGCATTGCCAACATGTTACCACCAGGGTCAAGCGTGGGGGGCGGTACGCCACACCTGGGGGGGGGGGCGTATTGAGGAGTCAAAAGTGGGGGGGTCGTAGTTGGGTAATCTGATAATAGCGATAACATGATATTATCATATCCATAATAATTAGCATGTCAATTAACCCCTGTAGACAAAGTGTGAGCGAATTGTGAAGATTCAAGATACTAGGCTACCTAAGTGAAATGGTTAAATTTCAACATGGTTAATTTTGTTTCAAAGGTGAATTAGCTATCCGTTTTTGCACTCAAGACAAAGCATTACCCCTTCTTTGTTCACCTCGAAATCCCGCTTCAGAGGACCTCCAAACTGTGGAATTAGAAGCCAACCAAAATCTCGTTTTTCCCATTTTCCGCTTTTGATGGCTGTGCTTTCACCAACTATTACTCAGAGCAAAGAAAACGAATCGGGCTCAAATCGCTTCTGTGAAAACTAGGAGATCTAGGCTATCGATTCATATAAACATTGTCCGCTAAAATTGTTTTTTTTGATATAGTTAGTGAGGTGCGGCACACCCCCTTAAAAGCTGCGGCGACCACAGCTTTTAAGGAGGTGTGAGAAGACAAAAGTACCTATGCTGCATTATGTAGAGCTCGCGTTTCCAAAGATGTGAGAAAAGTACCTCAAATATCTTGCAGCTAGACTAACCAGTGCACAGCACTTGACTTTCTTGCAAACTAGTACAAATTCGAATGAAACTTTTGGATAGAACATTTAACTTTTACTCGTTCAAAAAACACTTTTCGAAAATTTCTTCCAAATTTTATTTAGGGCGATGGTTCAAGTTTTCGAATCTTATTTGAAAGTCAAACCCTCTGCGTTTTTAACTTTCGAGTACGGACATATTCATTTTTGTTCCAGTAGCAGAATTTACATCCGACTCAGACCAAAGCCTAGTGTTTCTGCTCCGTTGAAATCCGATTCGGTGGTCAATTGTCAAAATGGCCCTTCAAGAGCACAAAATTCGATGAAGGATTTTTCCGAATTCTTGTATTTGGTGTTTTGCATTGTGTGTTTGTGTTATAAAGTGTTTTATACTTGGATGAAATTGAAGGATAGTAAAGGCACAACGCAGCACAAGTTATTTTTTTATTGGTTATGCATCAATAAATACTTAATGAAAGTTCAACACATGGCAATATGTAAAACAAAATTTATATGAAGGACTATAATTAGTTTATGTTATCGTACACTAGAATACATCCGACTTTGGGCTTACGACCAGAGAGAGTTATGTTGCATCCCCAAGATGCATATGCATTTACCTAAACAGTGATGTGATGAATTCGCAATTTATACTTAGAAGAGAACTTTTGTGGGAGCATATGCGCGAATTTCTTAACGTGAAAGTATATTGATTACATGCTTGATTACCCCCCTGCGCAAACTCCCAGCTCCGTAGCTCAAACTTTGCAAAAAAATCGATAAAAGTAATCGATAATCCCGAAAACTAATATTGTATTCGGAATCCCCATGCTTGATTACTCCCTGTGCAAACTCCCAGCCCCGTAGCTCAAACTTTGCAAAAAAAATCGATAAAATCGATAAAAGTAATCGATAATCCTGAAAACTAATATTGTATTCGGAATCCCCATGCTCGATTACCCCCTGTGCAAACTCCCAGCCCCGTAGCTCAAACTTTGCAAAAAAATCGATAAGATCGATAAAAGTAATTGATAACCCTGAAAACTAATACTGTATTCGGAATCCCCATGCTCGATTACCCCCTTGTGCCAACTCCCAGCCCCATAGGTGAACTCAGCAAAAAAATCGATAAAAATCGATAAAATCGATATCGATCGATGACGAAAAGTAGCCTATGACACCCGCCGGGGCCCGATGTGTATGTGTGCCAAGTTTGGTCCGGGTCGGTTCAGAAATGGAATTTTCTATTCGGAACATACGTACAGACATACATAAGACAGACAGACAAACAGATATTCAGCTTTATATATAAGATGCATCAATAAATACCTGATGAAAGTTCAACACATGGCAACACGTAAAACAAAATTCATAAAAAGGACTATAATTCGTTTACTCTATCGTACACTAGGATACATCCGACTTTGGGCTTACGACCAGAGAGAGTTATGTTGCATCCCCAAGATGCATGTGCATTTACCTAAACAGTGATGTGATGAATTCGTAATTTATACTTAGAAGAGAACTTTTGTGGGGGCATATGCGCGAATTTCTTAACGTGAACGTATATTCGGAATTTCGGCGATTTTCATGGAAAAACTGAGCTAACTAATCTGCTTGAGGAGTAGATTTATAAAGAAGGCACCTTTTTCAAACTACTAAGCATTACAGCACTTCTGTACACGTATACGTTTGATAGTTTGATAGTTCGAGTGAATTTTCTCACTAAGCGGGAAAATCTCAAATACGCGAGATAACGAAGCTCGTTGAGACAAAGTCTGTAATCGCTGACTATTGAAGGAAAGGCATTAAATAGCTAGGAAAAGAGTACAACCGTAGAGTGACACTACCTGCTTGAGTGATCACCATCATGTTCTGTTTGTAGTCAAATTTGTTCAGCAAACTTTAGAAAAGAAAATGATAAAACTTATAAAGATTAAATAGGTCGTAAATGTATGTTTCGCCCGTGTTAAAAATTCTTCTTCAGGTATGAGGCTGATGCAATCAGGTTAACTTTTGCACCAATACTTTGGAATCTCTACCACTTTTCCAGCTTTCATGAAATTATCTCATTCGATAGCTGATAAAGAAAGAAAACTTGCGCTTTCAGAATGTGCTGAAGTCAAAATTCTCTAAGGGCAAATGGCAACTATATAAGTTGTTTGAGAGAGATATACGAAAAGTGTTTTTTCGATTTTTGTTTGTTAAAATTGTTAAAACGCCTGCTAAAATCTGATTTTTTTTTCTTGATCTAGTACTATGACCTGCTTTTTTCATTAGAAAAACCTGATAGTGATTGGATAGATGAATTTATAAATTTTCATTTTTTTTTGCTTTTTTTTCATTTTTTACCCTATTTTCAGGTGTATAAGCCGCGGGGTGGTCCTAGCTTACATCGACCAGCCCGAACACATCAAAGAACCTCGCAACCAAAGGTCCCTATATCGTGCTGCGTATTGCCTAAAATAATCGTGTGGCATAAAGATCGCTTCTCGAAACACAATGAAGCGGTTGAGCAGCCCGGGCGAAAATTTGAAAAAGTGCGGCTTATACACCTGAAAATAGGGTACTGATTTTGTTTCATGTTGGTTTCCCAAATTATGCTGTAAAATAACTTCTAATATACATAACAGAGTGCATATTGATTTGATTAGTTTGTTGATTTTCTATTTTTCAATATAAAAATTGTGAATCAACCTGATATAAATCAACTACTGGTTGGAGGATCATGCAAGCTTTTTTGGTAGAGTTTTGAGCTTTCAGGCACATGTGTACATTTTACTAACAAGGGAAGTACAATAGCCGTGTCCTTTTGATATGTTATGCATACCATCTGAAGCAGCTTCGAACGCTGATTTCAAATCTGCTCTCCTTTTCTGCGGAGCGCTCTTCTGAAGAGAGTTATGGAAGTCTGAAAATTCTTTTTTGGGGCGATCCTTGAGTTAGTGAGCGCTGCCATGTGCGTTAGTGGTGCAATGGTGTAGTGGTTAGTTGTTGGCATTGAAGGCGAAAGATCGATGGTTCGAATCCGGTTTGATTGAATTCATATGAAAGGTTTTGAATTTATTTGAAATGCCACTCCAACATTGTTCCCCTAGTAACCTGGGTACTCGCGAGCATGAGAATTGCGCGAAGGTTTTCTTCATACGCTGATCCCGCTGTGAAAAATCTCTGTGTTTTGCTCACTTTGTTATTTCGCTCCACCTCTGTACATGAATTTTTTTGCGGAGCAAACCAATTTTGAACAAGCAAGCGGTTCTGCCAGAAAATTTTTTGATGTAATGCCCTTGCCACATTTGCCAAGGGCATTACAGTAAGTGTCTGTAAACAAATTACAGTGGTTTCTGAATTCACGTTCGTAGTGCGAAATGGTACATTCTGCACTGGATTCGAACCATCGACCTTTCGCCTTCAATGCCAACAACTAACCACTACACCATTGCACCTCCAACGCACATGGCAGCGCTCTCTAAGTCAAGGATCGCCCCAAAATAGGATTTTCAGACTTCCATAACTCTCTTCATAAGAGTGCTCCGCAGAAAAGGAAAGCTGATTTAGAATCAGCGTGCGAAGCTGCTTCAGTCGGCATGCATCTCATATCAAAAGGCCACGGCCATTAAAAGTACCTTTCTCGTAAGTGGAAAAAAGCTAAAAAAATTGTGAGCGGACGGAGCACACTACTGTTTAGAAACTTCTACATAGATTGTGAATGCAGTGCGTGTTTGGGATGTAACCTTGTTCGTAAAGCAGCAAATTGTGAACATTTTCGACCGCCATGTTTATGTTTATGTTCGAAAAGTAAGGATTATGCATTACATCTATCATGCATTCTAATGCGTGCAGCTATTCGTTCTGAAGAAAAGTTTTTGAATATTTGTGAGGTGCAGAGCATCGGTCAAAGAAAAATTAATGTATCAAGTCGGCAGTGATTATGTCCGTTTTGACATGCAAATTCAAAGCTTCACAACAATTCAACAGGGTTTCAGGTAAGACTTCATGAGAGGAGCTTCAAGCGTCCTCCCAGACGAGTAGTAGATTTAATGACAGTTATACCCTCATATGTTCAGACTTCCAA